AATAAAATAAAAAAAATCAATTACGTAAATCATATGTTATAAAAAAATAAATATAATATTATTAATTTTAATAAAATAAAATAAATCTATCATTAAATAATATAAAAAATTATTAAAAATTATTAAAAATTTTCACACTCGATCATTTTCCTTGCCTTTATTCATGTGGAATTTGGAGAAGGGGATATTTCATATTTGTTTTCAAGTTCTAGGTATTTGAGTACCCAACCTAGACCCAAGCACTAATTACTGGAGAATTGAGATTGAACCATTGAAATTGGGGTCCGAATTTCGTGGCCTGAATAACTGCAGATTGTTCTTGTCCATGTAATATATATTTTACAATTTGGATCGGTTATCAAATTCAAATTAGAAGAATTTGCTCTTGCATTTAAGAATCAAGCTTATAAATAATTTATTTTTTTTTTTGAACATAATTTATATTATATAATTTGATATAATTTAAATAACATATAATATTCTTATTGTAATACGTTTTATCTTTTAAATTCTTAAAATTCAAAAATAGAAAATTATTTTGTAATATAAATTGAAATGAATTATAAAATATCAATAATTATTTTTAAAAAATTTTTAAAAGATGAAAATAAAAAATTATTTTATAATATAAACTATTAAATAAAAATAACCTTATATTAAAAAATATATCCCATTTAAAAAAAAGTAATATGGCCTCTAAACTATGTAATATTTATTTTAAGAAATATATAGTTGGGTAATAACCTTTTTTTTCAATATTAACGGAAAGACAAATATGTCCCTACTCATGCTCTCTATGCCTGTCCCTCTCTCTCCATACATGGTAGGCCAACACATGGAACCACCACAAACAGCCATCATCTCTCCCACCTTTGCTTTAATACCACCTGCATCAAAAGTAGGTGATTTGATTTTCCTCACTGCATTCATCCAGAGACTACTTTCATAGCTTTTCCTTTCCTTTTGTCTCCCTCTTTAATCCATGGATACTGCTCAATGGCCACAGGTAATCAAAGTCACCATCTTTTTCTTTTCTTCACACCAAATCATGAAAACTGTTTCCTGGGTATTCAGTATTTTCCCTATTGATTGCTTTGCTTTTAATCCTTAAAATGTTTTCACCTTTTGCTTTCAGATGATGCTGTTATTTCACTCACCACACCCCACCGGTGTTTGATTTTATGCTTCTGTCGTCGTTTATGCATGATCCCTCATTTTTCTTCGTATTGCAATTGCTTTTCTCCTTTCTCTAAAAGAAAAAGTTGTTAGTGTTTTGTTTTTAGTGATATTGCAATCGTCAAAGTGTAAAAGCAGAGTTTCCTTTGTCTTGTTTGTTTCCTTTCGCTTTGATCATGAACTGAACTCATGGCTTTTCTGTCCTTTTGCTTTATCCTTTTCTCTTTTAAATTTCAGGGAATTGGAGTAATCAATAAACCCATGGAAGCTACTTCAAGACCTTTGGTTGAGAGAAGGACAAGGCCGCAAAAGGATCAAGCTTTGAATTGTCCTAGGTGCAATTCCACAAATACTAAGTTTTGTTACTATAATAACTATAGTCTTTCTCAGCCAAGATACTTCTGCAAGGGTTGTAGAAGGTATTGGACTCAAGGGGGGTCTCTGAGGAATGTTCCTGTGGGTGGAGGTTCAAGGAAGAACAAGAGGTCAACTTCATCATCTTCTTCGTCTTCATCACCTTCATCAACATCCCCTGCTTCATCAAAGAAGCTTGTTGATCTAAGTACCCCTGCAGGTTTTCCTCAACCTGCTTCTCAGAACCCTAAGATCCATGAAAGTCAAGATCTGAACTTGGCTTACCCACCAACTGAAGATCATCAGTACAGTAGCATGCCGAAATTTACTGATGTACCCTTTAGTTCTGCTAACAATAAAAGCCACCATCAAAACCCTAGCTCTGCTGCCATGGAGCTGCTCAAGACAGGGAATATCACTTCAAGGGGATTGATGAGTTCATTTGTGCCGACTCCGGTAAATGGTTCAAGCATCAGATATTCAACTGGGTTTCCTGTGCAAGAATTCAAACCTGCCCTCAATTTTTCTCTTGAAGGGTTTGAAAGTGGGTATGGGAATCTTCAAGGTATGCAAGAGAATGGTACTGCAAGGCTTTTGTTTCCCATGGAGGACCTGAAGGAGGTCCCAAGCACCACTGAATTTGTGCATAATAGAGGGCCGGGAGGATCTGGTGGGTACTGGACTGGTTTGTTAGGCGGAGGATCATGGTAACAAGAAAGAAAGATTTTAAAGCTCCTAGTTTCCCTCTTTGCTTTCTCACTTACACGGGTAATGGATGGTTTGGCTTGATTACTAACAATATATGGGTACCTCATATACATGAGTGTTTTTCCACTGTCTTTCTTTTCCACTCTGGTTGTTAATCATCTCTTGCTATCTCATAATGCTATATAGTTTTCGTTTCCTTTCGTTCTTTAATTACACTCTGATCAGTGTGTTAGTTTTTGAAGCTCATGTTTTATGTTGGCTTCAAAATGATGTTCATGACATTGAGTGCTGTGAATAGATATTGGAATTTGGAAGAACCAGAGGCTTTTCTTTCATCACATGCACATGTCTTACCCTTTAGGGTTTTCATGTATAGAAGAGAGGAGAAATGAGAGTACATACTCCTTTGCTACATGTTTGGGGGTTTACTGCATTGTGATTTTGATTCCACTATTTGTTCCGTGGCAGCAAGGACGATGGTGATGATATCTATGTATTCCTTCCATGTTGGTTGGTGGCCATTAAAGTGTTCTTTTTAATTATGTAAGCAGTTTGATGAACAGAAATGACTTTGTTGAATTGGGTTTGTTCATTTTAATCAAGCACTTTGATTTGGTTGGATTGGATTAGTAATTTGATTATGGGTGGATTCTTCTCTTTCTATGTATCCTTTTTAGCTTAAAAGTGAGTTGGAATGATGGTTGTCAATCCTTTACAGCAAAACCATTTTCTTTCCTTTTTCTTTTTGCTTGTCAACAGACAGCAGGTCACTATGGAAAGCACTCCATGAGTGTCTGGTCTTTTCAGCTACCATCTGGGGTCTGAGATTCTTCCATCCCTTATTAAAGCAAAAGCTTGATGACCAAGCACTCTCTCCACAGAAGGAATAACTAGGTAATGAACCATAGCTTCCATGTTCACATGCTATTCCACTTTCTAAAACCTCTACATAAGCAAATCATACAAAACAAATCATGGAAAGTAGGTCTGTTTTCTCTTTTATTTTAATACAGACATATGACAATGAATTATATTGTAAGAGATCATTTTTATTTAAACTCTTTTTTAGCCATTTTAAGATGCTGAATTCAATACATATCTCTAATATTAGTAAGAGTTAAGACTCAACCTCTGATAGGCCTAAGCTCACCCATTTTTCAATTGTGAAATTAGGTAAAAGAGTCTTCCACAGCAAAACGTGTTCTTGAATTTTTTTTATTAATGAATAATATGATCGGTGCTTCCTACACCCACTATTTACATCCACTATTCTTTCTTTTCTTTTTATCTTTTTTTTTTTTATTTGGCAATAACCAATATTCTTTCTTCACTAAATTCTAAATATAAGAGAAAAAGGGAGCTGCCGAGCAGCCTGACTACATTTTCCCATCTCTGGGTCATTGGTGGGACCCCGAAACAATCCCTTTGGGAGCCACGGGCTAAGTAAAGGAATAATCTTTTATTTTCAGGTACCGTGAAAAAAAAGAAAGGAATAATCTTTTATGGAGTTTTTTAGTACTTTATACAACACTTTCTCTTTTAGTATTGAATATAAAAATAAAAATAAAAATTTATTATAAATAATTAATTTTAATGAATATTGTGTATATTTTTAATAATTATAATTAATATCTGATATATCTTTGCAATATGATCAAAATAGAAAAACTACTACTATAGTACAATGCCTCGTAATAATAACAAGCAAAGCTTATCCTGAGGATAAATTATTAAAAATAGTTAATAGAATAATTGATATGTATTATTTAATAATTTATATAAAATTAATTTATAAATTAATATTTTTAAACATTTTAATTAATTATTTTTTTTGAACTAATTTTACAATGGACTGGGTTCGAACCCCAACCCTGGGGAGGGAGGAATGCACTATAGATAACTATTGCCACTTGACCCAAAAGACTCGATGCTTTAATCAATTATTTTAAAAAATTTATAAGCTGATAAAATTCATCAAACCAGATTAACCCATGATCTCCGTTAAATTCCTCCATATATCAAAATCTTTGATTAACACAGTAATAATGCAAGAAAAAAATATAAATGAGCCTTTTTAATAATAATAATAATAATAATAGATATGCAAGATCATTTATAATTATATTGTTTCATTTATTATTATTAAAAATTAAAGAAATAAACTTGGTAGAATGATTAAAATAACATATTTTGATGACAGTTTTTGGCTGCTTTGGGGATGTTTGGTTTTATCTTCCTTGAAACGTTAATCGTCTGGGAAAGTCAACAATATTTGCTAGCAAACTTGGCTTAGTAAATAAGTCTTCAGGCACAAAACTCTATGGGCATGTCGAGGCCGAACTTTATTAGCAAGGTCTTTGTTGGAAAAGAAATTAGTAAAGTATTATATAAAAAGTTAATGAATATTATATAAAATATTAATAAGTTTTATAGTAAGATTTTATTAAAAATTTGTTGAATTAATAATTTTTTATAATATTAATTTATAAAAATATATAAATAATCTTAAAAGTTTTTTGGAAGTATAGCTTATAAACATTAATCTTATAATGTATGGGAAATTTTTGAAGAGTTGGATCAATTGGTAAGTTCATTTTTGTAGGTTAGGGTTAGATTTCAAGTTTTGACATTAACATTTAAGGAGATTAATTTATTTAAATGCAACAAACCAATGGGAGGTGGTGCCTTTAAAATAACCTAAGGAGAGATTAATCTTAAAATGCATAATAGCTAGTCTAAAGACATTTTAACTATAAATAACAAAAAAATATATGAGAAAAATAATTGTCAGTTATACCTCCAAAATAATTAGATAGAAAAACACTTAAAATTATACCCTTTTAATAAACTCCTAATAAAAAAAAACTTAAAGAATCTATCTTTAACATAAAAATAAGATTGTTTTGGTCTTTTTTATGGTTTTTATTAAAACGATATAATTTTAAAATATTTTATACTTACTTTTTCATATATTCGTCTAAAAACCAACAATATCATAATATATATTACATTATAAAAAAATTATTAATGGGACTTGCAAAAATTTAAGTATATAAATATATCAAAATTAGGTTATTTTAATAAACTTTTGTTCAAAAGATTAAAAATAATATTTTTAACGCAAAAATGCAAATTATTTTAATTTTTCTTATAATGCTTGATTGAAAGAACTTAATTTAAATTGTTTACCTAATTTTTTATAGGTCTAATTAATAGAGTAAACACTAATATCATATATATGCATAGAAAAGGATTTTGTAGATCATCCTCCTAATTTTTTTTTTTTTGGAGGACATGTTATATATTAGTAAATAGAGTTGCTTTAATTAAAAGGGTTATAAAATTAATATGCATGATCTATATGAATGCAACTTTCAATTTAACAGTTGATTTTTTAAAAATATTAATTAGAATATAGATTTTTAGACAAATCCTTCAGAAAAATTTGAGGACAACCTAACCTACATTATCTTTATATATATATATATATATATGTAAGGGATCCATTCACGCATTAATTTTACACACTATATTTATATAAAAACTTAATTACTTATCTCTTCACTTTCAATAACTGATATTTGTCACAATTTTGTAGATAAAAAAGATAATTATCCTTAATACATGTGAATAAATTTCTATTTACACACAAATCTTACAAATCACACTTATATAAAATCTTAATAACTTATCTCTTCACTTTTAATGGTTGAAATTTGTTACGACTTTTTATTGGAAAAAATAATTATCTTTAATAAATGTAAATAAATCTTAATTATTAAAAATAAATAGATAAATGGTTGAGATTTTATATAAATATAATATGTAAAACTTATGTATAGATTTATACTATATATATTTACATTAACAAGTACTTCCTCTGTCTCAATATTATTTTTTTGGTAAATGTCTTTTGTCTAATTAGAATAATAAATATTTTTTAATTTTATTTCTGAACTAAGAACTTTGAGACAATTTCTATTTTGACATATTTTACCTTAAAAAATAAAAATAAAGAAATTTTTTTAAGATAAGATTAATAATCAAAGTTAAGAAATGATAAGATTAAAATAAAAAAATATTTATCTCCCTTCAAATATATAATAAAAAAACTATTATTTTAATACAAATTCTAAATAAAAAAGGTATATTATTTTGGACGGGATGGAGTATATATTAAAAATATTTTTAGTCAATGTTAAAATCCTTCGTAGCAATTTAAAATTAACATGTATAATTTATTTATATAAAATTAAGTATTCAATCTAACCATGCTGATAAAAAATATATATATTCTCAATCTAACCATTGGGTAGACATATAATAATACAGAAATTTATGAACATTCTTTTATTTCTTAAATTCGATCTTTTTTTCTTTTCTCATTATATTTTATGAAAAAAAGGTAAAACGAAAACATCCTTATATTAAAAATATTCAAATATTCAATTACAATCATTATATATATATAATATAATATAAATTTTAATTTTATTAAATTTATTATATGGCTACTAATAGGTATAGGCGTCTTAATTTTTTCCATTTTCATATTTTATCTCAAACTTATTTCCACAATGATTAATGGTTTGCCAAGAGGCCATGAGGTTATTTTCGTCACTACATTCTTACAAGTTGTCCGTAGAAGACAAACACAAATGCCTTGACCTTGAGCTGCTTTCTTTCCTGTTTGTGGTTCTCCAATAATCCGACACCGAAATTCGAGATGCATTTCCAGTTGTCGGAACCCATTACCAACCCACCGCCATTACTCATTAAGCAACATTTTGATAGTCATAGGCCTCAGAAGCTCAGTAGCCTTTCTTTTGAAGCACCGAACTCGACCAAACTCACTACCTACACGCATCTCTCTCTCTTTGATAGACCAATAAATTCAAGCACGTATGCTTTGATTCTCGAATCTTGCAGAACCCTGAACTTAGGAAAACAGCTTCATGCCCATACTCTAAAATCTGGGTTTGGTGGGCATGAGTTCATGGAGACCAAGTTGCTCCAAATGTATGGGCGGTTTGGTTGTTTGGAGGATGCAGAGTTGCTGTTTGATAAAATGTCGCTGAGAAACTTGTATTCTTGGACAGCCATGCTAAGCTTGTATGTCGACCATGGGCTCTTTGAGGAAGCCTTTTTGTTCTTTCAAGAATTACAAATTGAAGATGTTTCAGTGGAGTTTTTTGTGTTTCCTTTGGCACTTAAGGTTTCTAGTGGTCTCGGGATTGAAGAACTTGGGAGGCAGTTACATGGGACTGTGATAAAAAATCAGTTTGTTTCAAATCTTTATGTGGGTAATGCATTGATAGATATGTATGGTAAATGTGGAAATTTGGATGATGCCAAGAAAGTGTTTGGGAAAATGCCTGAAAAAGATTGTGTGTCTTGGAATTCTTTTCTTACTGCTTGTGCTGCCAATGGGATGGTATATGAGGCATTGGATTTTCTTGAGAGAATGTCTTTGATGGAGAATTCAAAACCAAATCTCGTTTCCTGGAGTGCAGTTATTGGGGGTTTCTCTCAGAATGGTTATGATGAAGAAGCAATTGAATTGCTTTTGAGAATGCAAGCAGAAGGTATTGAACCAAATGAGAGGACCATAGCAAGTGTTCTTCCAGCTTGTGCTAGATTACAGAAACTGCGCCTTGGCAAAGAATTCCATGGCTACGTAACGAGACACGGAATGATGTCTAACTTTTATATTGTGAATGGGTTGATTGATATATACAGAAGATCTGCTGATATCAAAACTGCATTCAAGTTGTTTTCTAAGTTTTCAGCAAAAAATGCAGTTTCTTGTAATACTATCGTTGTTGGGTATTGTGAGAATGGTTACACTTCAGAAGCAAGGGAGCTATTTGATCGAATGGAGCTACTGGGCATCAGGAAAGATATAATTTCATGGAACTCGATGATATCTGGGTATGTAGATAACTTCCAGTTTGATGAAGCTATGAGCATGTTTAAGGATTTGCTAATGGAAGATGGGATCAAACCCAATTCCTTTACTTTAGGGAGTGCTCTTACTGCTTGTGCTGACACAGTTTCTTTGAGACTAGGAAAGGAGCTACATTCACAAGCCATTGTTCGAGGCCTTCAATATAATACCTTTGTTGGTGGGGCTTTAGTAGAGATGTACTGCAGATGCCAGGATATAATGGCAGCGCAAAAAGCTTTCAATGAAGTAACTGTAAGGGATACAGCAACATGGAATGCTCTGATATCCGGC